TTTATCTCCCTCTCTCTTCCTCTCTCTGAAATCAATAAAGACATTTAAAAACAAAACAAAACAACAACAATGTAAGTAGATCGGCTGCCTCCTGCCCGCCCCCTGATGGGGATGGAGCCCAAACTGGGATACGTGCCCCTACCAGGACAAAGGTCGCTGCTCAGCCCCTGAGCCACGCGGGGCAGGGCCAGTTCTGGCATTTACTCTAAACCTACATCAGTCTTTTTTTTAATCCTCACCTGAGGATATTCTTTCCTTTTTCAGAGAGAGTGGAAGGGAGAGAGAGAGACAGACAGAAACATCAATGCGAGACACATCAAGTGGTTGCCTCCCACTCACACCCCGACCGGGGCCAAGCCTGCAGCCCAGGGACATGCCATGCCCCTGGCCAAAATTGAACCTGAGACCCTCGGGTCCCACCTCAGTCCGTAAGTGTAAAAGGGTAAGGAACTGGGTAGCGAGCCGGGAAGTAGCCAAATCAAATCTCAAAGCCCTTTACTGAGCACCTACTCTGCGCCCAGACATGCGAGAAGTCCAAAGGCAGAGACAGAGAAGTCACAGGCAGGCCGAGGAGCACGTGCTCCAGCCTCGGGGGAGCTGCACACAGGAAGCGGGGGTGTGGGAGTGGGCAGCCGGCCGGCCTGAGGTCAGCGGAGGAGGGGTCACTGCAGCTGCGCTCCTGCTGCCGGGGTGCATTCCCGGGAGGGCTCCGGCGGCAGCAGAGCGTGTCCAGGCCTGGCCAGATGGACAAGAATGGGGCAGAGGTGACTGCCCGAGCAGGCCCCTGTCGAGCATCCTAGATTTTGCTGGAACTTGCTTAACTCTGAGCAGAATGGTGTGGAGTGGAGGCCCAGCAGGGGGAGGTGGGGGAACTGACAAGATAGACAGCTGCCGGTCCTGCATTGCCCAACGCTAGAGTCATCTCGTTCCAGATTCCTTTCATAATTGGATAAAGTGTACCAACCCTGAGGCCCAGAGTGGGGCCTGGTGGGGCCCAGAGACTTCAGCGGCAGGACAGTGGGTCCCAGGAAAGCCAGGGAAGCACAAGCATTCCTTGGCTCCCTGTCCCCAGCAGCTGCAGGAAACGGCTCCCAGCTCCCAGCTATGCCTAGCAGCCCCCAAGGAAAAAGTCTTCTTTCCTGCCCTGGATGGGGCAGCTGAGTATTCCATGGCAGGCCCCAGGGAGATGGTAGGTGGGGCTGTGAGCCAACATTTAGGAAGCCGATGTAGGGCCTGTTTGGAAACCAAGCCTGAGAAAGGGGTATCATGGATTTCATTGCCTGTGGCAGGGTCCTACCTCCGTAATCCAAAAAAGTCCTTGATACTTTCCCAGACCAACACTCCCTACACACAGAACCTTGCCTATAACTTATAAGAACATCCCCGCAGTGCTCCAAGGACTCCAGGTTAGAAGCGCCTGCAGTGTGGTTAAGGTAGGAGAAATTCTAGTCTGGTTCTGGCCCAACTGGCTGTGAGTCTTGAGCCAGCTCCTGGCCATCTTGACTTGTACCTCACCAGGGCTGGGCTGTCTTGTTCACACTCGGCCTCCCCAGATTCCCAACAGTATCTGCTGCCCCGACCTTCTGCCTACCCAGATGAGTCTGGCTGCCAACTGGGGGCCTCAGGGAGCTTTGGAAGCTGTGGGCTGGGATTCACATACTTACCCATAAACATACCTTCTGTTTTTGTTTTGTTTCCTTAATGGGCTATATCAGTCACTCACCACATTTTTTGAGCATCTGCTACGTACCAGACCCTGGGCTAAACATAGCACAAGGTGAGATCACACCCATTCTTCTGAGTCCTGCCTGAATCCCGCTTCCTCTCAACCTTTGACAGCCCACCCAGCATAGCCCTCCCTTTTGGTTCATGTTGAAACTGAATCCCTCTTCCACTCATTCAGTAAGCTGCCCAGTGTGGCTGCCTCTAGGCAGAGCCTGGCCTTATTTAGTCACTTTTTGCTACCTCCTGCTACCAATAAGCAATTTTGAACCCACAGTAGGAGAGGAGAAAAGGACTTCTGTGTTCCCTAGGGTCCAGGAAGCCTTTAACAAAGTGAACTGGCTGAATTCTCGCAAGGGTATGTTGGATGTGTTTCTTGCGATTTTGTTCCAGTGCTCATCACTACTAGTCGTTATATATAAACTGTTTTGTCTCATCTCCTCCACTAGAATGAAAACTCTTTGAGGATGGAGACTGGTTCACTGCTGTATGCCTATGTGAAAAAAAAATGTTCAGTAAGTATTTGTTAAATATAAAAATGCATAAAGTTGAGACCAAATTCTATATACAACGTGGTATCCTTCTGCCAGGGTTGAACCCCAATATGGCCACTCATCAGCTGTGTGGTCTTGGGCACACAGAAAATGCTAAATAAGTGTTAGCGGTTATTTATTGTTACTATTATTATCCCACTTTGTTCATTCAACATTGTTAGGAGATTTCCCCACCTGCATCAGAAACTTGATTGCTACTGGAGACCCACTATGCCATTGGACCAAGGTGCCATTCACTGAATAGAAGTTTATATATATGAGCAACAGCAACTTGTGTGTGTGTGTGTGTGTGTGTGTGAGAGAGAGAGAGAGAGAGAGAGAGAGAGAGAGAGGGAGGGAGAGAGAGAGAGAGAGTTGGAAGAGGTTGGCTTTCATTAGGTTTCAAAGGCTTAGACCCAACAGAATTTAAGAAGGACTGGGCAGAGGGCTGGCTTGAAGGATACTCTTTCAAGCAACCATTTCCAGAATCCAGGTGTGGACCACTCAAAAGGGAGCCTGTCATGGTCTTGTTTTTTATTTTTATTTTAAAATTGATTTTAGAGAAGGAAGAATGGAGAGAAAGAGAGAGAGAGAAACATCAATGTGACATCAATCAATTGTCTCCTGTGCACACCCCTACTGGAGATCAAACTCGCAACCCAGGTATGTGCCCTGATCAGGAATTGAACCCATGACCTTCCAATGTGTGGGATGACGCTCCAACCAACTGAACTACACCAGCCAGGACTTGCTTTTGATTATTGATGGGATTCTTGATACAATCGTTGCCTTGGTAATACTAGGAGATAAGGTCTAGGAAAGACCTTTGGGAAGTTGGGTCCAAGGGTCAGGTAAGGAATATCCTTCCAGGCATCCAGAGCCCACCTCCCTCCTATGCCAATCCCACCAGCCTTGACTCTGGTAGTCTAATCTTATGAGTGGGTGACTCTCCACTTCCCAGCAGGTGGCGCCACCAGCCTTGAGTCTGGGAGCCTAGCATTATGCGTGGGTAACTTCCACTTTCCAGCAGGTGGCGCTACTGTCCTGACTATGCTGAAGGTCGCCAGCTAAGAGACTTGTTCTCACTGGGCTGGGACCTGACCAGTCCCAGGGCATAGTGCAATGACTGCAAAGCTATTTTATTAATTCATGAATTCAACAAACACTAAACACCTACTATGTGCCAGGTGCTGGGAATTCAGTCAGAACAAGGCAGATCAAGTCCTGCTTTTATGGGATTTATATTTTAGAGCCATGCTGTCAAATATTGTAGTCACTAGGCACATGTGACTACTGGGCACTTGAAATGTAGCTAATCTTTTTTTTTTTTCCTTTTTTTAAAAACATATCTTTATTGATTTCAGAGAGAGGAAAGGAGGGGGGAGAGAGAGAGATAGAAACATCAATGATGAGAGTCATTGATTGGCTGCCTAGCCCGCAACCCAGGCATGTGCCCTGACAGGGAATCCAATGCCAATCTTCTGGATCCTAGGTCAGTGCTCAACCGCTGAGCCACACCCAGCCGGGCGAAATGTAGCTAATCTTAATTGAGAAGTGCTGTAAGAGTAAAATACACACCTGATGTCAAAGATTTGGTTAAAAATAATGTAAAATATCTAATTAACATTTTAATAGCCTTTATGTTGACATAATCATATTTTGGGTTAAATAAAATATCTTATTAAAAAGAATTAAATCTGCCCTGGTAGGCGTAACTCAGTTGGTTGGACATTGTCCTGTGCACCAAAAGGTTGCCAGTTCGATTTCAGATCAGGGCACATGCCCAGGTTTTGGGTTGGGTCCCAACCAATCAATGTTTCTCTTTCACATCAATGTCTCTCTCTCTCTCTCCCTTCCTCGCTCTCTAAAAATCAATAAAGACATATATGTATATACAGTATTTAGAAAAAAAAGAGTTTAAAAATATACAAAAAACAAAAAATAGGAAAGAAGGAAATCCAAGTGGCACACTAAAAAAATCAACCAGCCTGGCGGGGCGTGGCTCAGCGGTTGAGCATAGACCTGGGATGCAGATGGTGGTTTGATTCCCGGTCTGGGCACATGCCTGGGTTGCAAGCTCAATCCCATCGGGCCTGCAGGAGGCGGCCAATCAATGACTCTCTCATCATTGATGTTTCCATTTCTCTCTCTCCCTCTCCCTTCCTCTCTCTGAAATCAACAAAGATATATTTTTTTAAAAAATCAACTAAATACAAAAAGGCAGAAATTGAGGAATTGCCCAATGTCGTTCCAGTCTTAATTTTAGCGTTTTTTTAGTGGCTCGGGGGAGGGGGGGTTCTAATTTGTCTTTCCCTGATGAATATCATGTGAAGCATGTTCTCAAAGGCTTATTGGCCATTTATCTTTCGTGAATTATCTGTTCAAATCCTTTGCCCATTAGAAAAAGGACGGGGGGATTTACATCTATTTTTGCAATTAATGTAGGCCAGGCACTTATGATCATTCCTGCTTATGGCTTTACATGATTTAACTGAGCTCCCACCCCACCCCCTTCCCGCACAGAAGCAGTAACGGAGAGACCAGGGGCCGAGAGGGGTCCGTACGCCTTCGGTACAGAACCGCCGAGCCATTTTCTAGGCACGGTCCCCAGCGGCCCTGCAGCCCCCAGCAGGGCTGGGCTCAAGGAGCACTTCCGCAGGCACTTCCGCCTCCCGGCCCGCCCCCAGCGTTGGTGATTGGCTGGGCTGGACAAGCGCGAGTCCTCCTGGGAGTTGTAGTTCTTGGGGCTGGGCTGGGGACGCCGGGAAGGAGCAGAGGTCCCAGGCTAGAAGCGGCGGTTGTGCTTGCTCCCCACCGCCGGCACCATGTCCCGCGTGTTGGTGCCCTGCCATGTGAAAGGCACCGTGGCGCTGCAAGTGGGCGATGTGTGGGCCTCCCAAGGCCGGCCTGGAGTGCTGGTCATCGATGTCACCTTCCCCAGCGTCGCACCCTTCGAGGTGAGCCAGCCCCTTGGGCGCGACCTGGGCTCCTGGGCGGGGCCGACCTGGGAACTCGGGCGTGTCCCAGGCGTTGAATGTTTTACATAAGGCCTTGGCGCTGCCTGGCCCTTGCCATCAGTTAAGCATTTATTTATTCCTTTAGTTACCACACTTACTAGAAGGCAGCTTCCTGTTCTATTCTCCGCATCATGTCTCCCCCATGTGCAGGACAGCGCTGGCAGGGAAATGCCAAGCTAGTAGGCTAGGTGTTGGAAATACCGTTGTGAACCAAGTATAGGTGAGGTCATTTTGTCCTGGGGATCATTAGACAATGGGTTACCCCCAAACCTGCCTCCTGCCCATTCCTACAGTCTCTGCTGGAGGTCAGGTTCGGTTCAACTCAATCCTCATCAGGATCTTCCCAGTGGCTCCAGTTTTCAGTTTCCAGTTGTACTTCCACATCAGCTGGCTGAGTGACCGGACACTGCAGGACTTCAACATAGATGATAAAGACCACCGTTTTCTGATGGCCTGGCGTTCAGGGCCACTTTGCATCTGTGCCCTGCCTGCCTCTCAGCCCTATGCACTCTGTCCAACAGAGTGTGGTTCTCCCTCAAGCTGTTCCTTAAGGATAAGCTGGGAAACCCTGATTCAGTAGGTCTAGGGTGGAGCCTGTACACCTATATATACATATTTTTAAACTTGGGTGATTCTGATGAGTGTCCAATGATGAGAACTGCCGTAGGCGACTATGCTACTTTTTACATTATCTACCTTTCTTGGTCCACTTGGTGAACTCTTCCCCCTTCAGGCCTCACAGGTACATTTTCTGCCTCCTCCAGAGTTAGGGCTCTGACCTCTGGCAGCATCTTGGACATATGGCAAGATCTGCAGTTGTTGCTTATTGCTTATATGACCTGCTCATTTATACTGTGAACTCCTTTAGGAAAGTGAAATTGTCTTTGAGCCCCAAAGGATGCTTATTAGATTGGTAGAAGAGTGCATTCCTAAGGGGAGGAGGAGATGGTGCCTTTGAGCCACTCAGGCCCTGTGCCTGGGTCTGATTTGTCCTGGTGGGTCGTGTGTGCTCTAGTTGCAGGAGATTACGTTTAAGAATTACTACACAGCCTTTCTGAGCATCCGTGTTCGCCAGTACACCTCGATGCACACACAAGCCAAGTGGGTGACCTGCCTGCGGGACTACTGCCTCATGCCTGACCCACACAGTGAGGAGGGAGCTCAGGAATATGTATCGCTGTTCAAACACCAGGTCAGCTGGGACTCAACATGGCCAGGGCAGCCCAGATGAGGGCTCACAGGGGGCCTGAGAATTGGGCCAGGATACCAGGAGGGATGAGGGGAGCAAAGCTGTCCTGGGCGGTGGCTGTTTGGGAAATGCTTTGGAGGGACTAATGTTCTTTCCTTCCCAAAGGCCTGGGGAGGCAACAGGTTGGCTCATTGCTCATTGGGAGGATCCTGGGCAGTGAGCTGGGCCCTTGCTGGGGCCTTGTATGTGTATGTGTCAGATGCTGTGTGACATGGCTAGAGTACTGGAGCTGCGCCTGATTCTGCGACAGCCATCACCACTGTGGCTGTCTTTCACAGTGGAGGAGCTGCAGATCTACCAGCAGGGACCAAAGGTAAGTGACTAGCTCAGACCTTGCCCTTTCCCCAGCAGGCTCCTAGCTAAGGTTGGCAGAGGTGGGGGTGGGGGAGGGGATGGAGGTGGGAGTGGATGGGTAAAGATGATGAGACTCAGAAGGAGGCCTTTATGGAAGTTAGCCAGGTAGGAATGTTGGAAGCTCATGATGAGAGGTGAGAGGTAAGGCCATGTTCCCATATCCCCTGACCTTTGGAGCCACCCATCTGTTTCAGAGCTAGAGCCTTCAGGTGCTGGGAGATACTTCTATTCCTTGTGTTCCTGGGGTCTCTTTCTGCATAGCAGAAGAGCTTAGGTAGTCTGACTGCCCTTTGGGCCTTTGTGGACCCTTAAACAGGGTTTTCCCAGTATTCAAGGCTCTGGGGACCTTCTCTCTGCTCCCAGTACCTTGGAAACTGGTCCCAGAACTCTCCCCCTCTTCCTCCCTCAGGGAAGTATGTCTTTGCTTTGCAGAGCCCCTCCGTGACCTTTCCCAAGTGGCTCTCCCACCCAGTGCCTTGTGAGCAGCCCACTCCCCTCCTTGAGGTAAGCCTTCTCCCTGGGTAAGAACCACGTGTGAATAGCTGTGACGTCCAGGTGGGCCCCTATCTGCAGGAATCAAGGGCTGGACCTCGGGCCCTTGGTTCACTCTGTGCTATCTTCCACCTGGGTGTTCCATGGGATTTGAGGTATCTCTGTGTGGGACTGAGCTGCACATCAGGCCCCAACCTCATATTTCACAAGTCAGTTGGGAATGTTACTGATCTCAGCTGGAGGGCCAATAGCCCAACTTGCCCTCTCTCGAGCTCTAAGGGCGCTGCTGGGGAGAGCCCCATGGCCACTGACCCCTCCTTCTGGAGCAGGGTCTCCCAGACCCCAGCAGGGTATCCTCTGAGGTACAGCAGATGTGGGCGCTGACAGAGATGATCCGGGCCAGTCACACCTCCACAAGGATCGGCCGCTTTGATGTGAGTGATCGCTTCCCTCTGCTTGGCTCCCATTGCTCTGAGTGGGTCAGATCTGATGGTCTTTTGTGTTGCAGGTGGATGGCTGTTATGACCTGAACTTGCTGTCCTACACTTGAACCATGGCTCTTAACCAAGACGTTGACCTTCTGTGCTCACCCAGGCCTGGTTTGGGTCATCAGAGGCCGAAGTGCTTTCCCTGTGCATTCCAAGTGTTGCCTGCATGCCCGTTCTGTCTGGGCCACATTCACAGACTCAAGATTCTTGGGGGCTCACTGTGCGGCTTCAGCATGAGCACCTGGTGTGGAGTACACTCTGACCTCACCTGACTGTGACCCGAGACTCCTTTTCTTACCCTAAAAACACTCCAGTTCTACTTACTAAGAATCCTTGCGTGCCCTCTGCCCCTCCTGCCAACATGCATACTCCTGTCTTCTGCCTGCTCGCTTCCTCGCCTGAGTGCAGTGGGCTGGGTGACCTACTAGAACCTGCTCTATTTAGCCTTGCAAGGCTGCTGTAGCCATGACACTTTTTTTTTTTAAAGAGAATTTTTTTAGTTTATTTATGCCAAACTGACGACACACCAGGAAGCAAGATCTCAAATGCTCTGCCATGCCACTCTTTTAGTTTGGAAGCTTGAGGGAGAAACAGGAGCTCCATTTCTTCCTTCTGCGCCCCCTAGTGGTCTTTTTTTCCCTTTGTGTCATGCCCACAAAGAAATTTCCTGTAGAAACCCCACTGCCTGCCTAGGGAGCTAAGCTGGCAGTTTGGGCTGCCGGAGTCCCTTGGTCTCTGAGCCGACTCTGGGATGTATGTTCAAGTGTGTCTGCCCACCTAACCTGGTCAGGAGCCTCTGGCAAGGCCAGGGCCTGAGAATGAGTCCTAGGACCATCTGATAAAGCCCAAAGTACATCTTTGTCCCTTCTCCCAGCTGCCTCCTAACCAAAGTCATGCTCAGTGTGATGAAGGATCGTGGTGGGAGGTGGGCCCAGGTGAGGGTTCTCATTGGTGTCTTAAGAGGCTAAGTCCTCTACAACCCCAGGCCAGCTCTGAATAAGGCAGACTGCTTTTCCTAATGAGAAAATCCTTCTTTCTTTTTTTCTGGCTTTGCCCCTGGCGGCTATTTGAGGCAGCACTGCAACAAGTGTTGGACTGGAAAATTAAATGTTTGTATGGTTGCCACCCTCTTCTCTCACCTGTCAGGGTTCTTGCAAGCTGTACCTTTCCCTGCAGGGTCGTTTATTTAGTTCCATTCAGCTTTTGCTAAGAGGGTAATGACCATAGTTCTTTGCTCAGGGAGTATCAGCCCTCCGTGTGTGTGAGGGGGGTGTGGTCTCTGCGGTGGGAGGACTATGCTTCATTCACAGCTGTGTCCCCAGCACCCAGCACAGGGCCTGGTGTGCAGCAAGATCAATAAATACTTGTGGAATGCATGGCTGCTGGCTGCCTGTGTGCGCCCAGTGGGGGAGCTGGAGGCCTGTGTATGTGCCAGGTTCCTGTGGTGCTCGGCCTGCCAGGCTGGCTGCCCCT